AAGGAAGGAAGGAAGGAAAGGAAGAACGAAATCGCAATGAAATAACCGCAGCAATGAAAGAATACATTGGAAATTATAGAAAAAGTAAAAAGAGATGAGAGAACGAAAAAAAAAGAGAAAAGAACGAAAGAAAGATTAGATCGGTTATTATAAAAGAAAGAAAGAAAGAAAGAAAGAAAGAAAGGAATCAGAAAAAGAGAAAGATTAGATTAGTCGTTATAAAAGAATGAAAGAAAAAATGAAGGAAGGAAAGAAGGAAAGAAAGAAAAGGCAATGAAAAGAACGAAACAAAGATTAGATTGGTCATTATAAAAGAAAGAAAGAAAGAAAGAAAGAAAGAAAGAAAGATTAGATCGGTCCTTATAAAAGAACGAAAGAAAGTTAAAAAAAAGAAAAAAGAAAGAAAACAATGAAAGAAACGAAACGATGACAGAGTAGAAATGATATAAAAAGTAAAAAGGAAAGAAAAAACGAAAAAAAGGAACAAAAAAGAAAGAAAAGACAGAACATTTCATAGGAAATAAAGTATAATGAAAGAAAAAAATTAATGAATGAGTGTAACAAGAATAATATATCATGGAGGTTAAGAAAGACTGGAAATATAAGTAGAAAAAGGCATTTTGAAGGAAAGAGCAGAAAAAATAGAAAGAAAGGAAATTTGTGAACTAACGCTTATGAGAAAACATAACGAAAGCGAGGCAAGACAATAAAGAACCGAAAAGAGAAAAGATGGACATAAGGAAAGAAGAAGAAATGAAAGAAAAAAACTAATAAACAACAATAAAGAAAGAAAAAAATAAAAGAAATGAAGAACGATTAATATGAAAATAAAAGGAAGAAGGAAGAAAGAGAAATCAAAGGATGAATAAAAAGCAAGGAACGATTGAAGAAGAAATAAAGAAAAAAGAAGTAACCGAAATCAAGAAAGAAGAACAAGAAAAAGACGAATAAGAAAAAAGGAAAAAAAAAAGAAAAAAGAAAGAAGGAAGAACAATCATCGAAAGAAAATAAGAAAGTAACAAACAAATAATTAACAAAATAAATAATTTCATTTTCGAAAAAAAGAAACAAATTGAAATCAAGGAATAAAAGATGGAACGTTTAATAAAAGAAAGAAAGAAACCAATGGATATGATGATGAGTAGAGAAGAAAGAAAAAAAAGAAAAGAAAGAAAGAAAGAAACCAATGGATATGATGATGAGTAGAAAGAAAGAAAAGAAAGAAAGAAAAGAAAGAAACCAATGGATATGATGATGAGTAGAAGAAGAAAAGAAAGAAAGAAAGAAAAAAGAAAGAAAGAAAGAAAAAAACCAATGGATATGATGATGAGTAGAAGAAAGAAAAAAAGAAAGAAAAAAAAGAAAGAAAGAAAGAAAAAAGAAACCAATGGATATGATGATGAGTAGAGAAGAAAAGAAAGAAAAGAAAGAAAGAAAAGAAAGAAAGAAAGAAACCAATGGATATGATGATGATGAGTAAATTTAAAAGAAAAGAAAAAAAGTGTTTAAAAGAAAGAAAGAAAGAAAGAAAAAGAAAAGAAAGAAACCAATGGATATGATGATGAGTAGAGAAAGAAAGAAAAGAAAAAAGAAAGAAAAAAAAGAAGAAAGAAAAAAAAAAACTAAAAAAAATGATGATGAGTAAAAAAAAAAAAAATTTTTTTTAATGTTAAAGAAAGAAAGAAAGAAAAAGGAAGGAAGGAAGGAAGGAAGGAAGGAAGGAAGGAAGGAAGGAAAAAGAAAGAAAAGAAAAAAAAGAAAGAAAGAAAGAAAGAAAGAAGAAACCAATGGATATGATGATAAGTAGAGAAGAAAGAAAAAAAAGAATCGGAAATCTAGGGACAAAAGATAGAACGTTTAATAATAGAAAGAAAACAAACTATTGAAAGATACCAATGGATACGCTGGTGAGTAGAGAAGAAAGAAAGAAAGAAAGAAAGAAAGAAAGAAAGAAAGAAAGAAAGAAAGAATGAACATAAAATCAAGGACCAAAAGATGGAACTTGTAATATTCGAAAGAAAGAAAGACAATAAGAAAGAAACCCATGACTAAGCTGATGAGTAGAGAAGAAAGAAAAAAAGAAACAAACTGAAATCAAGGTAGAAAAGGTGGAACGTGCAATGATAGCAGGGAAGAAAGAAAGATAGAACGAAAGAAAGGAAGCAATGACTATGCTGATGAGTAGAGAAGAAAGAAAAAAAGAAGGGATTTGAAATCAAGAGACAAACGATGGAATGTGCAATAATAGAAAGAAAGAAAGAAAGAAAGAAAAAGAAAGAAAAAGTCAACAGGAAATCAGATAAAGAAATGCTTTAATAACTAAAGAAGTAGAAAAAGCAGAAAATAGAAAATATATGGAATAAGCATTAAAATAAAGAAAGAAAAAAATAAAGAAAGAAAGAAAGAAAGAAAATAAAAAAGAAAGAAAAGCTATGAACGTAACGCGGAAAATAAAGAGATAAGGGAATAAATAAAGAAAGAATTGGCAATTAATGAGCATGTGGAAACGAAGAAAATAATTGCAAGTAACGCGAACAGCGAAAGAAATAAAGCAAATAAAATTGTTTTGCAAGGCAATTTCGCTTCATTATATTCGGCGTAATTCCGTTAGAATATTTCGTTTCCTTATCATAATCACTAATGTATCAGTAACAACTTCATTAACATCACAATCGTTTATTCGACAATATTTATGCCGTTGGATGCCAATCTATATTTGGTAGTCGTAAATGTCCAAAGTGTAAAATTTGGATCAATCTCGAATACACTGCTTACTTATTGATTCCATCTGAAGGTCATTCTATGATTCTTGCTAGATTCACCTATTTGAAATTGGAATTGGTGAAAACCTTTTTATTTTTACTTATTTGTCTTTAATTCTATTTATTTATTTTCCTTGTATTCTTTCTTTCTTTCTTTCTTTCTTTCTTTATACAATATTTTTCTTTCCTTTTCGCTGGTATTCCTTCTTTATCATTTTCTTTTCTTTTATTCTTTCTTTATATTTTTATTAATTTTCTTTTCTCCTTTCTTTTTTTTCCTTTTCTTTTTTTTCTTTCTTTCTTTCTTTTCTTTCCACGCATTTTCTTTCTTTCATTCTTTCTTTTTTTTTTTTCTTTCTTTCTTTCTTTCTTTCTTTATATTTTCTTTCTTTCTTTTTTTTTTTTTCTATTTTTCTTTCTTTTTTTCTTTTGTTCCTTTTATCATTTTCTTTCTTTTTTTTCTTTCTTTCATTCTTTTTTTTTCTTTCTTTCTTTCATTTACAATTTTTCATTTTTCTTTCTATCACTTCTTTTCTTTCCTTTTTTTCTTTTCTGTTTCCCTTTTTTTCATTTTTTCTTTCATTCTTTTTTCATTCTTTCTTTCATTCTTTCTTTCTTTCTTTTTTTTTTTTCTTTTCTTTCCTTTTCTTTTTCGCTCTTTGTTCCCTTTTTATCATTTTCTTTCTTTCATTCTTTCTTTCATTCTTTCTTTCATTCTTTCTTTCTTTCTTTCTTTCTTTCCCTTTCTTTTTTTCTTTCCTTTTTCGCTATATTGTTTCCTTTTTATCATTTTCTTTCTTTTCTCTTTTTTCTTTCTTTCATTTCTTTTTCTTTCTTTCTTTCTTTTTTCTTTTTTACACTTTCTTTTCTTTCCTTTTTCGCTGGTAATCCTTTTTTCTTTTTTTCATTTCTTTTTTCATTTTTTTCATTCTTTCTTTTCTTTCTTTTCTTTCCTTTTCTTTTATTTTCCCTTTTAATTCGCTTTCATTCATTCTAATTTTCCTTTTTTCTTTTTCTTCATTTTTTTTTCTTTTTATTTAAATCTTTTCATTTTCTTTCTTTCTTTCTTTCTTTCTTTCTTTTTATTTTTTCTTTCCTTTTCGCTTTTGTTTTCCTTTTTTTCTTCTTTTTTTTTCTTTCTTTCATTCTTTCTTTCTTTCTTTCTTTCTACACTATTTTTCTTTCCTTTTCGCTGGTGTTCCCTTTTTCTTTTTTTCTTTCTTTCTTTCTTTCTTTCATTTTTTTTTCTTTCTTTCTTTCTTTCCCACAAAATTTTTCTTTCCTTTTCGCTGAATTTTTTCCTTTTTATTTTTCATTTTTTCTTTCCTTTTTCTTTCTTTCTTTTCAATTTTCATTCTTTCTTTCTTTCTTTCTTTCTTTCTATTTTTTCTTTCCTTTTCCTTTGGTGTTCTTTTTATCATTTTCTTTCTTTTTTCATTCTTTTCTTTCTTTTTTCTTTCTTTTTTTTCTTTTTCTACACTATTTTTCTTTCCTTTTCATCTTTCTTTTATTCCTTTTTCTTTCTTTCTTTCTTTCTTTCTTTCTTTCATTCTTTTAATTTCTTTTTTTCTTTCTTTCTTTCTTTCTACACTATTTTTCTTTCCTTTTCGCTTTCAACTTCCCTTTTTTCTTTTCTTTCTTCATTCTTCTTTCTTTCTTTCTTTCTTTCTTTCTTTCTTTCTTTCTTTCTACACTATTTTTCTTTCCTTTTCGCTGGTGTTCCCTTTTTATCATTTTCTTTCTTTCATTCTTTCTTTCATTCTTTCTTTCTTTCTTTCTTTCTACACTATTTTTTTTTTCTTTTTTTTTTCTTTCTTTTTTTCTCATTTTCTTTTTTTTCTTTTTTCTTTTCTTTTCTTTCTTTTATCAATTCTTTTTCTTTTTTTTTTTTTCTTTCTTTTTCTCTTTTTTTTTTTCTTTTCTTTTTTATTTCTTTCTTTCTTTCTTTCTTTTTTTCTTTCTTTTTCGCTTTTGTTTCTTTTTATTTCTTTTTTCTTTTTTTTCATTCTTTCTTTCATTCTTTTCTTTCATTCTTTCTTTCATTCTTTTTAGAACATTTTTAATTTTAATTTTTCGCTTTTTTATTTTTTTTTTTTTCTTTTTCATTCTTTTCATTCTTTCTTTCTTTCTTTTCTTTTTTTTCTACATTTATTTTTTCTTTTCCTTTTTGGTTTTCCTTCTTTATCGTTTTTTTTTTTTTTCTTTCTTTTAATCTCCCTTTCTGCTTCTGGATTCATTTTGTACTCTTTTCTTTATTTATTTTTTGAAAAGCATTTCACCTCCCAAGCAAGGCAATAAAGCTAGTAACACGCAAATGATTACTGATTGTTTTTTTTTGAGATGTTTTCTTTCCAGATTTTCTTTTTTTTCTACGATTACTTTTTACCTCATTTTTGTATTTTTTTCTTGCCTTTTTTATTCTCATGCTTTTCTTTCTTTTTTTTTTTTCATTCTTTATTTATGTCTTTATATTTTTTGTTTTTTATTCTGAATTTTTCCTCTTTTTTATTTTTTTACTTTCCTTTTTTTATTTTTTGTATTTTTTTCTTTTCTTTCTAGTTTTAATAATACTACCCAGGCAAGGTAATAAAGCCATTAAGTCTCAAGTGGTTGATTACTGTGAAAGAATATGAGAAAAAGAAAACATAATTCATTTTTCTCATAATTATTTTGTAATCGTTTTGTATTTTTTCTTTTTTTTATTCTTATTTCTTCTTTCTTTTTATATTTTTATTTTCATTCATTCTTGTATTCTTTCATTTTTATATTTTTTTATTTTATCCCCCTTTTTACCGTAATTCCTCATGTAAAATATGCCTTCATCCATAATAATATATATAATTTTTATGCCTGAAATGTTTTAATTCTCTCCTCACGCATAATGCGCAACTCTTGTCTGGTAATCAAACACTATAAATTGTACCTCTGCAATTCAATCACGTCCAGCGATTCCTACTCTTTTTTAAAAATGGTTTTAAACATAGAATAATATCATTCTAATAGTCTTATGATAAATCTTATTTTATTTTACATTTGTAAGTATTCTTAGGAACATATGATTGTATTTGATATCCTTATGGGATTGAAATCGCCGAAATTTAATATTAAACTATCGTATGATTCTAGTGAATATGAAACGTCAGTATTTAAGATTTTTTAGCTGTGCATAATACGAACCCCCAATTTTGCTTACTATTTTTTTAGAAAAAACGCGTATTATTATGGTATTCTTTTATTTTTCTTTTTTTGCAAAAATGTCTTAGAAATAAAACAAATTTAATAAAATCCACTAAAACGCAAGTGGTTACTAAATGTGACATAGAATATGAGAAAAAGAAATATTATTTATTTTTTTTTTTTACATTTATTTTTTTGTAATTGTTTTGTATTTGTTTACGTTCTTGTTTTTTTCAAATTATTTATATTCTTTCATCACATTTTTTTAAAAATTTTATCTTTTTATTCTTTGTTTGTTTTTGTCTTCTTGCGTATTCTTTGATATCTTTCCTTTTTTTTGAAGCTTTTTTTAAACAAGGAAGGCAATAAAGTTTTAAGACGTAAATGATTAATGACTGTGAAAAAGAATATTCTAGTATAAAATATGTATAATAATAAAATAAAATAAAATATTTTTTTATTATAATTATTTTTAATAGGGTCGTATTCTTTTTTTTTTCTTTTTCTACGTTTTGCTCTTTTTATCTGTTTCTCTTTCTCTTTCGTATCCTTTGATTATTTTCTTTCTTTCTTTTCTTTTCTTTTTTGTTCAATTTTTTTTTATGTTCTTCCCACGTAACTTCCTTTTCTTCTTCTATTAAATGTCTCTTCTCATTGGTCTTATTCTCTTCCGCCTCTCCCTCCTCCCCCCTCCTCCTCCTACTTCTTCTTACTGTCTTTCCTTCTGTATCAGGTTTTAACTAACCTATTTCCCTCTGATTAAAAGAAAGTTTCATTCTCTTTATCTTTTCTTCCCTCGGAATAAACGCATCTTAAATTTCATTGTTATTTTTTTTCTTATCCTCGCCTACCTACCCTCTTTTTCGTATGGCAATTTCAAGGTATTTCTGCCGCACAATATATTACATTGTTAACTCAACGTAAGAGAATCCAAGAGTTATTCAATAATAAAATTATATATATGTGGTATATATAAAGATAAAACGAGGAATTATATAGTGATATTGTGATAATCGAATTTTGGGTCATCCCCTTCAAATTTTAACTCTTCAACAAATTAACAGTTCTTGCGAAGAAAATATCTGAGTGTAACTTCCTCCTTACCAGTGGAATATGAAGGGAGTGAGGATGAGTCAACTCTGCGTATGTGGCATTGTGGTTCCTAGGTGTGAAGGTCTGAACTGGTGGAACTATAGAATGTGGCTCGTCTAAACATTTGCCAAGGAAATTTTGATAGAGTTAAATATAAAATTATACGTCTCGTATGTGAGAAAGCGTTTTGTATGATGGAAAATGATTCATCATCCACAAGGCCGCGTAGACGCATTTGGCCTCCGGGAATGTCTGGAAAGTGAGGACTGTTCAGCTCAAGACTAAATATGACAGCAAGATATTAATTTTTGGAGTAATCAGAACCTTTGTCAATTTTATATTTATTATATATATTCCACAAAATTTCTATACCGTATCTTCCGTACAAAATTCTATAGCATATTTTCGGTTAAAATAAGATGTCAGTCTTATTTTAATTTTTGCGTCATTTACACGACAATTTATCCAT